TGGTTCCCTCAAAAGTTCTACCTCCTAGGTATAATCACTTATCCCTCCAAAGGAGAGAGGTGTATACTATGGAAGGACTTTGAATCATAGGGAGGAATGGAGGTGAATGATACCATCCATGTTTGAGAAAGAAGTTATCTACATTTAAACTCTTCTTAATCCCTAACCCTAAAACAAAATAAAAAGAAGAAAGATCAAGCTCTCAAGCTCCTCAATGCATCTTCAAGTCTTCTACTATGCTCCTCAATGCTCCACAATGAGATACCAAGCTTTCCAAGCTCACAAAGCAAAGCAAACAACAATACAATGCCCTAAAGGCAACACAAACAATCAACCAATACAAAAATCAACTAAAAATAGCATACTATCATATTAAATCCTAATATAATTTCTAAGGGATCCTACATACCTACCCTTAATACCCATATATGCCCCATAGTCTAATTTGCCCTAAAAACCCAAAATCTAAAGTTATTATGGACCTATGTTGAAGTTTTAACCTAATTCTACACAACCTAATAGCATCTAACCAAAACTATCCTAAAAATCATCACAAAAATATGGAATTAATCCAGGGGGAACCTAAAACATATATCTAATCATCCTAAAAAGATTGACTTAAAAATCTAAAGGGAGCTACCTAAACTAAATTCTACAAAATTATGGTATCAACATAAAAGCATTAAAAAGCTATTAAAATGAAAAATATGCAAAAAATATTAAAATGCATGAAATGGCAAATGTTTTTATTTTATATTTTTCTAGACAAAAATATGAAAGGGGAGAAAAAACTCCCATTAAAAAATATTGATTTTTCAATTTACTATGATTTTTCTAAAATATGAAATAAAATGGTAAAAATAAAATCAAAATATGCAAATGGGGTGCAGGAAGAAATGACATGCAGTTAAAATCATGCTTGGGCCCAAACTGGGGGGTCTGAATAGCATGCGCGCCTGGGCCCATTTATTCAGAAAAATCAAATAATAAAACAATAAGAAAAATGAAAAAAGAGCGGTGCAAAAAGAAACAAATTATAGTTATAAAATGATATTGGGCCTGATAGGGGGGTGGGAATAGAATTGATCCACTAAAGCCCAAAAGAGCGTTTAATGAAACGCTGAGTTTCATCGCTCAGCTTTCCCTCTCATTTTCGTTTTGAATCATGGCCGTAGGATCTGTTCTTTGGTCAAGGGTCAGCGCCTTATCAAACGGTAGAAACATCATCATCAACCTTGGGTTAGGGTTTCACCTGAAACTCCATGAAAATACAGCTTCCATGCACCAGACTTTTACCCACGCGTACTCCTTCATTTCAGCATCAATTTCCACGATGTAAAACACAATCTTGCTTAGAATTTCACCCTGATCACGCCTATGGTCTTAGTTTTCATTGAAAAGATCTCTATCACCAAACCCGAAGGTGAATCCAAACCAATCTCAAAATCTGATCCATACTCAACTTCAACCAAACTCAACTTTCTTTATATCAAAATGATTATCACGTTCCATGGGTTAAAATCATCTAATAATCTTGCATTAAAACTCACTATATCACTAGTTCTTACTCCATCAAGAATTGGCATCCATGAATGAAACTTCACCAATCACTCCCAAACTCATCAGAAATGATCACCTAATTGTCTCTAACAGTTCTAAGCTAATAAATTAACCTAACCATGCCTAGATTAGGGTGTAGAGATGATTTTACATACCTGGCTTCTTGGATTGGTAGTGATGGTAGATCTTCAATTCAAGGCTTGGAACTCTTCAAGAACACTCATTGGATGATGAAAACTCTTCTGCATGCAAAAAATTTGAAGGAGAGAGCTTGTATACTTGAATTCGAATGTGATTTGCTTTCTTGCAATTTCCAATGGCAACCTTCAATATTCCATGGATGGAGCTTCAAACCAGTATGAACACACTCAGAAAGATCTATGGAGAAGGTTTGTGAAGAAAAATGGGATGACAATGAAGAAGAATGTGAAGCTTGAATGTGATTTGCAATGGAGGAATTTGGATTTTAATCTCTCTTCTCTACACCAATTAACACCAACCTTGCATTTGAGCAAGTCACAATGATTATATAGAGAGGTTTAGAACAATCTAGAACCATCTAGGATCATCTAATGAGAAAATCAAGTTTTCATGTCATGGTATTTTGAATTCAATTCTCTCCACATGGTATCTCATGCAAAAACCCTTGTAACTTTGGTAACCAACTTGAATTTATCCCCACATGATATTTTGGATGAGTTACAATGCTTATCTTCCTTGTTTGTTGAGTTATTTTGAGTTTTGGTTTGGTACCCTAATATGCAAGCAATCCAATTACAAGGCAGCCCTATGATGCAAGCCTCAAATCAAAATTGTGGCTGAACCATTGTTCTTAGAATGTCATTTGGAGTCAAAATGACCTATTACATGACATGGTTTGGACTTATAACTTGGGATTTCCATTTTTCAAATTCACTTGAATTAACTTATGCCTCCTTTTTAGGCCATTTTTATCACTTTTTGATATGAGCCTTTTCAACATCTCATGAACTCCCTACTAGCCTTAAAACATCATTCTAAGCAAGTTTGATGTTGAAGATTTTTCCATTTGAAACTTGGAAGTAGGAGATATGGCCTTGTGCTTGAAATGACCTATAACTTCCAAATGACCAAAATGCCCTTGGCTTGTCAAAGCCATAAGTTGAGTTCTACAAATCCTATCAAGGACTTCTAGTACTCTATAGAAATCTAAGAAGATGCTCTTCAACATTCATGTTGACCAAGAATTCATAGGAATCATCCTACTAGGGCAAAAGTTGTCTGCAAGTTGGGTGACTTTCAAGGACCCAGATTCACATACCTCAGATGACCTGTAATTTGTCAAAACCATAACTTGAGCTCCACAAATCCTATCAAGGACTTCCACCACTGAAATTAAAGCTAAGAACAAGATCTACAACATTCATGTTATGGGGAAGATGAGATGACAATCACATCGTGAGCTAAAACTGTCTTGAAGATAGGGATTAAACTAGGGGATTTTACACTGTCAGTCCTTATAAACCCTAGCTTGAAACTTCTCAAACTCCTCAATCATGATGAGTTGGTCTAGGAATCATCCTTATAGTATCTCAATACATCATTCCATAATCACATGGCTCTTGGATTAGGTCTCAACCCTCTCCAAATCTTCAGTTGACCTAGGGTTGACCCAGTCAAACCCTAATTCCACCACTCATGGCTGAATCTTCTGAATTCTTGTACAATGACCTCTCTAGTCTTCATGATGGCTCTCAAGACATCTCATAAGCTTTCTCAAAGCTTCAAGTCTATCCTCATAATCTCAGAATCATCTGAGGAGCTCCCACAACTCTCAAGTTATGAGTCACACAACCTTGGTTTCAACCAATTCCTCTGAGGATCTCTTGGGCTCTCTGACAAAGGTATCAACCTTTGAACACTTGATGAGTAAATAAATGTTGGTCAAATTTTAGGGTGCAACATACGCCTCCTATTCGTCTTCACTACCACTCTTTGTATTCTCTATCTTTCTTCGTTACTCTTAAAAAAACTTATGAGACTTTCGTCTCTCTTCAACCAACTCCGTTTTCTAAAAAAACTAGGGTTTCAACTGCTTTCCTCTTCGTCTTGTTGACCTCCTTTTGTATTCTTTTTGCTCTTATGATAACATGTTTTAACTTTGACTAAACCCAGGACTAATTCATTTTGAACAACACGTGTTTCAACAATAACAAATAATAATAATAAATTCCAAAGAGAAAAAAAAATCATGTTAGATAAATAAATTCAACGAAATTGCCACATAGGTAGAAGTTAACGTTTTTTCCACAAAATTTAACGGAAACGACCAATTAAACTAATGAATCACTTTTAAAGGATTAACATCTAATGTTTTTAGATAAGAGATTAAAATGAAATAATAAATTAGGTTAAGAGACTAAAACATGCATTAAGGCTATTTATATAATACTATGATTCAATTTATCTAAACCATAATCTACATTTACTTATCTCAACAATAAAGAGTTATACTCAACCCCACATACTTATCTCAACAATACATAAATTATTCATAATTATCTCAATAAATTATACTCATTTCATCTTACAATAGGTGTCCTCTTTTCTATTTTTATTTATCTAAAATTATTTGTTCTTTTAAAATAATATTTATTATTTTTTCCACTCACTTATTTTTATTTATTTTATTTTATAAGTTTATTTTAATAAATAACATTCATTTTATCATTAAAATCAACACAAATATTTATTATTTTAAAAAATATGAAAATCTGAAATACAGCACCTATACAGAGGGAGTACTCAATACATATTTACAATTTATTCCATTATTCATTTATCTGCAATTAGATTTGCTCTATATTACCATTAATGACCATTCATTGTAAACAACAAAACAAAAATGTGAGCTTATGCATTTGTTTGCCCATCTTACTCCAAAAGAAAGAAAAAGTCACAACAGTCTCCTAGTCACACTCCGCAATTCCACTAAAAACCCAAACAATGAATTGATAAGTAAAAAAAGTAATTAATTATTATAGATAGATAATGTACATTTAATCATTGCTTACCATTTTGTTTCGTCCTCACTGATTCAACCCACGGTCGTTTAATACTTCACACAAACGAAACGCACTTAATTCAACTTCTCCTTTTGGAGCTTTCCCAATCTTGTTCCGGTCAATTTTCCCGCGGTTTCTTCAACGTCCGGCGTAATCTCCGATCATCCGACCTCCGCACGTACGGTTTCGATCTCTCTTACCTTTTCATTCTCGAATGTTCACATCGCTATGATTTCTCAACTTTTATGTTTCCATGTTACGTTGATCGAATTAGGGTTTCAGTGTGTGATTCTAGATCCCTAGGTTCCACTTCCGTTTTTCTAAATTCGGTTTCCGTTACTTATTTATGTTTTGGTTGATCGTGAATTGAACAGAAGGAGTAGAAGATTGTGAACAATGAGTAACGTGTTCGAGGGATACGAACGCCAGTACTGCGAACTTTCTGCTAATCTATCAAAAAAGTGCACTGCAACTACTGCTCTTAATGGAGGTAATTTTTGTTGTTGTTGTTACTTTTTCATCAAGTTTTGTTATGCCATTGATGCTTCCGGGTTTCTGATTATGATTATAATTGATTCTACAATGAAGGCATAAACACTCATCTATTGTAACATTCTCATATTTTCAAAGCGGTTCTATATCGTCCAGCATTTAGTTTTACATGGCATCATAGGTCTAATAGCTATGCAGGAAGCTGAAAGAAAATTTTCTATCAGAAACAACACCTGAAGTATTTCTCCATTTCATCCTTTTTTTTATTTTAAATTTTTTGGCCGATACTTTTCTCTTTTCCCTTGTTACTTTGTAAAATGGATCAGAGGTGCTTCAGATGTGATACTTACAGTACTATATGTTCTCATATTTTTATCTCCACATTAGGATCTGTGTGCTAAATTTGGCATTCCATATATGTTACTAGTTTATTTCTACTTGGGCAAATTGCTTGTTTCTAAGGCTTGCCTCTATATCTTTAATTTTCATATGTTTGTTCTATTAACTCTCCAACTTATCATGTGCCAAAAGCATGCGCATCTGGAACCAAACACCTGTAGTTATAAAAAATATTCTGTAATCCTACTGAGTTCTCATATTAGTCGCAGCCCCTTCATAACAAAAACAATCAAGCCTTATTCCACTAAGTGGGGTCGGCTACATGGATCAAATTCGCCATAATGTTCAATCTAATACCATGTTTCTAACCGATTCGTTAATCTCAAGATCTTTATTAATAGTTTCTCTTATAGTTTTTCTAGGTCTTCCTCTACCTCTAGTTGTTTGATTCCTCTCCATCTGATCTAATCTCCTTACAACAGAATCTATAGGTTTCTCTTTACATGCCCAATACACCTAAGCCTTTTCCACCATCTTTTCTACTATAGGTGCTACCTCAACACTCTCTCTAATATTGTCATTTCTAATCTTATCCCGTCTAGTCTTACCACACAACATTCTCATCTTAGCTATACTTACGTTATTCTCGTGTATTCAAATACCTTTTTCTCAAAAGGTTTTCACACAACCTAATTATGTACTGTATCTACGTCCTTTTCTAAACAATGCAAATCATATGTAGTTTTTTTAGTTATGTATTACTGTATATGGCTTCCATAGTTGGTATCCACGACATAAAACTAAAATGATTTTCTGGGATGTTGATTCACTTAATTTATTGATGCCCCTCCTTGTTTTTTTCCTCTTCTTTTTGTCAATTGATTGGGTGGTTGAAGTATTCTAATGCGTTCATCATAACGTGGATTCTAATACTCATTTGAGAAAAAGGAATATGCACTGACAGTGTAAAATCTTTTTACACTGTCAACCAATAAGGGACGTGTATCCCGCCAAGTCACACTTTTATTTTTAAAATACTGACATGACATGGCTGAATATTAAAATTCTATTGGATGGTGGTGTAAAACTATTTTACACTGACAATGCACTATCTTTAATCTCTACTCATTTTACGTGATAAGAGTGATTCACTACCAATTCCTATGAATTCTAACATACTTATGAAATAATATCTTAATTCTTGAAGCAATAACTATAGGAAAAATCGAACTTATGATTTTTCTTGGAATAATGTATATTTAATTATAGTTGTCATTTTCTGTTTGATCTGCAGAGCAAAAGAAACAAAAAGTTTCTGAAATAAAGGCTGGAATTGATGAAGCAGAAGCTTTGGTGCTTTTCTTCTTCTTTTGTAAAGCTGGCTTTTTTCTTTCTTTCTTTCATGTTGACTGGGATTTCAATATAATTGTTTTAATGAATTTGTAGATTCGAAAAATGGATCTTGAGGCAAGAAGTTTGCAGCCAAATATCAAGGGTGTACTTCTTGCTAAGTTGCGGGAGTATAAATCAGATCTAAACAACCTTAAAAGTGAAATTAAGAAAATTGTATCTGGAAACTTGAATCCTTCTGCACGGGATGAGTTGTTGGAATCAGGCATGGCAGATGCTATAACGGTAGGATTCATTTTTAACATTCTTTTTTTTTAATGCTCTCATAACTGATTTATTATGCTGTGAAAATACTATAAGGAAACAATCTGACGATCCCCTTTCTTTATGGTTGCATTAGGCATCAGCTGATCAGAGAACAAGATTAATGACATCAACTGAGAGATTGAACAAAACTGGTGAACGGGTTAAGGATAGTAGGAGAACAATGCTGGAAACCGAAGAGCTTGGTGTTTCTATTCTCCAAGATTTGCATTCACAGCGACAATCTCTATTGCATGCACATAGCGCGGTAATCTTTTCTATTTCTTGTTTATGATTATGATGTGTTTCTGGTTCAACTAGGACATGCTTCATTTCCTGTACAGTAATTCCTTTATGCATACTCTGTATCTTACCTGAGTTATGCTGGAAATTCCATGGGAACTTCATCTTTCTAATATTTTTATGTTTACATGCTAACTATCTAGTAGCAGTTGTTGGTTCTATTTCTTATATTACAATTTTTTGCATCTGGGTTTCCTTTAAAATTATTCTTAGAAATGAAAAACGACTCTTCTCTACTCAACAACTTGAGCTTTTGGAGTTGTTGGTTCCTAAAATCGTTTCAGAGTTCATATTAATGTTTTGATTTCCGTGGTTATTCTTCTAAATAAATAAAAAATTTCAGTTTTAGTTCTAGGCATGTTGGGCATATTGGTTATTCATGTTTTAGATCCAAAAGGCTATGCGAGGTAACATATTATTGTTCACGTGTTTCTTACCTCTTAACTAATAGCTTACTTTATGTATAATTGGATCATGACTAATATTTACTCATTGCTTTTAAACTTTGAGCAACAATATTAACCGTTCTTTTCTCCGAATCGTAGTGGTGAAAGTATCCCTTTGATTTACTGATGCTTATATGCCCACATGCAGCTTCATGGAGTGGATGATAACATAGGAAAGAGCAAGAGAATTATGACAAACATGTCAAGAAGGATGAACAAGAACAAATGGATCATTGGCTGCATTGTGCTTGTCCTGCTTGTTGCTATCATTGCGATCCTATACTTCAAACTTGTTAAATAGCCAAATGCCTACCTTTACTCATAGTGGTTCATAAATATCACAAGATTCAATGATATTTTTTGTTTCCCTTTGTCTTATTCTGATTTGTGAGTGGGCAGAAAAAGATGTTGCGTTGTGCAGTGCTGCAAGCTAACTTGGTTTCTTTCAAGGGAGACAGCATTCACTCGTGTCTTATGCCGGGGTTGTTTTGTAGTGTTTGAAAATTTTCTATTTTTTGACCTATTGTTGCATGATTTTAATCATGAAACCAGAATTCTGTGGCCATACTGTTTGAATTACTGATATTTGCCTCTAATCTATCTGAGTAAGTAATGTTGTTACTTGACACAGTGCTGCATGTAAATCTACTGCTTACAATGTTGTATAATCCATCATGTATAACAATTTCAAATTACCAAGGAATGTAGATAAAACTATAACCTGGTTCTCAGAATAGGCTGTAGTGAAGAATCTCTAAAGAAGCTGCTGGGAACATGCAGATGAAATACTCTTGACTATGTTTTGCCAATTTCAATTATTTCAACGGAGTTGAGAAGATCCTGAAAATTTTGCTTTGCTCTACATTAAATTTGGTTGTGTTAACAGGGTGGTGAAAACAAATAGAAGGCTAAATAAATTTTTGAACTTTATAAAATTAATTAATAAAATATGATTTTTATTTCTATTAAAACTTTGAGAAAATGACGTGCATTATATTACAACCATACTGATAATTTAAAACAACTGAAATAATTTGACAAATTGATAATTTTTTACTAAACTTTTTTTATTGAACGATGAAGTTGCAAGTTCCTTAAACTCTAAAATTTTATTCATTTTTATTCTCAAAAATCAAATAATCTTTATTTTTAGTTTGTGATAATAAATTACTTAAACAAATATATAGATTACTTAAATCAATCATTTTTTGTTTTCGCGTAAATGAGTTGGTCAGAGTCAAAGACAACAAATTTTCAAAGTGCTTCCTTATCATCTCTCGCTCTTCGTTTCCGCTCTCTTCTCCGACAATGCGCACGCGCCACCGCTCTCCTCCCCGGCAAACAACTCCACGCCGCCGTAACCGTCACCGGCCTTCTCTCTTCTCCAAACCTTTTTCTCCGCAACGCCCTTCTCCACCTATATGCCTCATGCTCTCGTCCTTCACACGCCCGTAAACTGTTTGATCAAATTCCTCACTCGCATAAAGACTCGGTAGATTACACCGCTCTCATTCGTCGCTGTTCTCCCTTTGAATCCCTCAAACTGTTCCTCCAAATGCGTCAGCTAGATCTTCCTTTTGACGGGGTAGCCATGGTTTGTGCCCTCAATGCTAGTACAAGACTCGGGGATCCCAAAGTTGGGTCTCAAATGCATGTTGGTGTGGTGAAGTTCGGGTTTGAGAAGTTTGACAAGGTGTGCAATGCTTTGATGAATGTGTATGTAAAGTTTGGGCTTCTGGGTGAGGCTAGAAAGGTGTTTGAAGAGATTGAAGTTCCTAGTGTTGTGTCATGGAGTTGTTTTTTGGAAGGCTTAGTGAAATGGGAGAGTGTGGAGAGTGGGAGGGTTGTATTTGATGAAATGCCTGAGAGGAATGAGGTTGCTTGGACTGTTATGATTGCTGGTTATGTTGGGAATGGATATACAAAAGAAGCTTTATCACTTATGAAAGAAATGGTTTTTGGGTGTGAGTTTGGGTTGAATTGTGTTACCCTGTGTTCTGTTTTGTCAGCTTGTTCTCAATCTGGTGATGTGTGTGTGGGTAGGTGGGTTCATGCTTATGTTGTTAAGGAAGTGGGGTTGGATTTTGATGTTATGGTGGGGACTAGTTTGGTTGATATGTATGCAAAATGTGGAAGGATAAATGCTGCATTGATGGTGTTTAGGAATATGTTAAAGAGGAATGTGGTGGTTTGGAATGCTATGCTAGGCGGGTTAGCAATGCACGGGATGGGGAAAGTTGCGGTGGATATATTTCCTTCCATGGTGGAAGAAGTGAAACCTGATGGTGTGACTTTTATGTCCTTGTTAAGTGCGTGTAGCCATTCAGGTTTTGTTGAAAAGGGTTGGGAATATTTTCATGATCTTGAGTCTGTTTATGGGATCAAGCCAGAAATCGAGCATTATGCTTGCATGGTAGGTATTCTCGGCCGAGCTGGACGTTTAGAAGAAGCTGAAACTTTTGTGAAGAGGATGCCAATTCCTCCAAATGAGGTTGTTTTAGGGTCCCTTCTTGGTTCTTGTTTTGCACATGGTAAGTTGCAGCTAGGCGAAAAGATTATGAGAGAGTTGGTTGAGATGAATCCTCTCAACACTGAGTATCATATCGTGCTTTCAAACATGTATGCATTATCTGGAAAAGTAGAAAAGGCGAATTCGCTTAGGCAGGTTCTTAAGAAATGGGGTATCAGAAAAGTTCCGGGAACGAGTTCCATATATATTGACGGCAAACTTCATCAGTTCATTGCAGGGGATAAGTCACACACAAGAACTTCAGAAATTTACATGAAGTTAGATGAGATGATTTGCAAATTGAGGTTGGGTGGCTATGTTCCAAATACAAGTTGTCAAGTTTTGTTTGGTTGTTCCAATAGGGATGATTGTAGTGAAGCATTGGAGGAGGTAGAACAAGTGTTGTTCACTCATAGTGAGAAGCTGGCACTGTGTTTTGGCCTAATGAACACACCATCTGGTTCTCCTTTACATATTTTCAAGAACCTGAGGATATGCCTAGACTGTCATTCTGCTATTAAGATTGCCTCCGATGTATACAAACGTGAAATTGTTGTCCGAGATCGTTATCGTTTTCATAGTTTCATGCATGGTTCTTGTTCTTGCTCTGATTATTGGTGAATCTTTTTCACATATTTAATGTACATAAGATTTCTTATTTTATACATTGTTTGTGGTTGATACACAATACATAAAATAGTCAGGAATTTACTGTGATATCATTTGTATTACATAAAATAAATTCTTATTATTCAATCTAGTTCCTCATTTTTTGTGTATGCAAGTCTCGGAAACTAAAGTTATATATATATATCAATTCTGAGAAGAAAATCACAACGGGGATGTAGCTCAAATGGTAGAGCGCTCGCTTTGCATGCGAGAGGCACGGGGTTCGATCCCCCGCATCTCCAATTTTTTCATTCTCACGTTATAATAGTTTTATATCTTCTTTTCATTGTAATAAACTTAAAAGAATGAAAATCATGTTGGATAATAATGGAATAAGAAAACAAAAATGTCTTAATGCACCAAAACCTCACGCTACACATTTATTGACAATTATTGTACAATAAAAATCAGACAATTTCATTTAATCATAACATTATTGCTTGCCAAACATTGAATTATGCAAGCTTTGTTAAGTCTTAATCAAATGTATTTAAAGAATTACTAATTCATTAATTACAGTTAATCATTACTAATTTACAGATGAAAAATGAATGACATTGTTATGATCCATTGATTCAATTGATGAACAAACATGTTTAGTTTAGACTGAAATTCTTCTCCGATTTGTATTTCTTGAAACTGTTATAATCTGCCAACAATTTACCATGAAATTCCTTCTTCATTTCATTCCACATTGTTTGAAAAACCTGTTAAAAATCAAATTAACCAATCAAAAACATGTTTAATTAAATGTTAATACATACAAAAAAAGATAAACAAACCATCTAACCATTTCTAATGCATCTTGTAAGACATGTTCAGGAACAAAAATCATTGCTGGTGAAACAATAAAGCTTATCTTCATCTCCATTTGATTCTTGAGCCAACTACGTTTTCCTCTTCTTTCCGGATATATACTACCTCTTACATCCAAACTGAAATGGTAAGGATCATTGTAAAAGCTATTCAGTCCTCGAAGCTCCCATCTCATCTGAAATATTTCATCGGTCAGTATAAAAATATTTTACACCGTCAGTTATATCTTTAATCGTAAAAAAATGAAAGTGCTTACAAAGTGAAGCTCAAGAACTTTGGTAATATGATTAGGAATATGAGGTGGATAATCTTCACCATTAGACTTAAATCTTAACCTTACATCTGCTGTTGGCTCAACATTCAAGAATAAGCATTGTATTGGAGGCATTTTAACTCTCCATTCTTCCTACACAAAAAACACACACAATAGATTCACACATTCACGCATTTAGTAGCCGTTGAATTGAGATCAGACCGTCCAAATTAAAAAAAAGTCTGTCTCTATAAAATTTGGACGGTCTGACGATATAATGAACACACAATTGCGTATAGTAAGTACCTCATTGAGTTGTTTAGTTTTTCCTTTGTCAGGAAACACTGCTCTGAAAACCCTGACCTTATCATCCATATATTGATCAAAAGAAGCCTACAAAGAAAATCAAAAAAATCATTGTTAGAAACATTGGCTTTTGAATTGGAAGATGAAGATAGTAAGGATGAAAACCCTGATATACCCCTGGCAACTCATTAAGAGGAACATTAACAGTGGTTCTATAATTGAATGAGGAAGTTTTTTCACTCCTAATCACTCTATATGAAGCTGTTTTTGTAGGGAAATGACTATTCAACCTATGATTTTTTAGGACTAATAAGGGTAGCTTAGGAACCATAAGCATGCTTGCCATAATATTAATATGATTGATGCAATAATCAATTTTTAGGCTTTTATAAAATTTCCTTAACAGGACAAGGTATATTATTGCGTGCACACTATTCTCCATTTGTTCATGTAATATTTAATGTTTAATTAAATTAGGTTGAGTTTTTTCATCAAAAAAAAAAAAAAAGTTGAAATGCTTAATATTTAGGTGAACTATAAACTATAATGTAGTAACAAGATATTTTATATTTGATTGATCATTAGTCACTATTTCTGATTAATTGACTAGAAAAATAAATCAGTTAATATACGTGTATTATTAAGCAACTTCGGTTGGATAAGTTTGCAATTTTATTTTTTTGACTGAAAGTTTGCAATTATTGATATATGACAAAAGTTTAATATTAATATATCATAAGCATGGGGCATAATTCTCCAACTTTGGGTATAGTTTTAATTTTACTAGGGCAAATCTAAATCTCATTGTTTTATTAATTCTAGCATAACGGTTAATTTGTATATACTTTTAGTGGCTTTTTCTTAAGGTAGTTCTAATGTAAATCAAACATTTAAATAATTAGTTTGTTAAGATTTGTTTAGAATTAGTTATAGGTTGTTTGTGTGGTTTACATTAATACTTCCCTTTGATAGCTAACTTATACTTACAAGTTTGGTATATATGTCTTTGAGATACACCTGTCTTTCAATAAATGGTTGCGTGTAGACAACTTAGGATTCGTTAATTTGTCATGTAGTGTCAAGAATAGGCCGCCAACCCAATACATATGGAGACAATATTACTCTTAAATAAATTTTATTAATTTTAATTTTAAAATTATTTTATACAAGAACTTCATATATTGAGAATTTTAATATAGAACTTGTCATGAATTTATGTTCCCAATTAGAAGCTATTTCGAGGTGGAAGAAATCGATGGTCTCTCTATGATGGTGGAAGTCTTTGGTAAATGGAGAGAGGAATATACATGCAAGATTAACACTTAAATGTTAAAGTTATTGAAGTTAGAGATTTTTTTTTTGCAAGAATGTAATGAAATCATACTTATATATGTGATGCGAAATCATACTTATATATGAATTACAATTAGAATCGCCCCTGCTGAATGCAGTGTTTCAGAGATAAGAGTGTTATATGGGTTTCAACGGTTGAGATGAATGCAAGGTTTGAGTTATGTGTGTGGATCTTTAGTTAGGGTACACCTATTTATCATTGTGTGTGCACGACATTATGGATTGGGCATTCGTAATGAGCGGGTCTTATTGGGTTGTTTTAGCAGGTCTAGAACAATTGTCCCCTAATTCCTTGCTATCGATACAAAGCTATGATTATTGTTGTATAATTGTCGAGACCGACATCAAGAAAGTTCCACTTTGACTTTCGCAGATGAAGAGGGTCTAGACAACGCCTTCACTAATGTAGGACCTTCTTCCCTTTGGGATGGGATGCTAAGTGATAAAAGATTGTGCATTCGATACACCAAATGTGTTATTACCTTCATGAAAGCCTTTCTCGCAAATGAGGTTCATACCCCCTTTAAATTATTTTGAAGTAGGTATATGTTTAAATGTTTCAACACTGGTGTGAATACAAGAACGTTGTCTCGACTTTGACGCTCTTTTTCCATTTGTTTAATATTCAATGAACTTTGGCCAAGTCAAACTAGGTCAAGGGTTTCTCTTGTTTAGCCAAGGCAAGAAGATGTTTGAAGTATACATATATATTCTCAAGAATTTCAAAGGCATGTATTACCTAGTAACCCCTCTTAGTCTTTGTGCTCATGAAAGTATTTATTAAATTCAGGCTAGATCCCCTTCAAGATCTGACAACAAACTCCCAAATTTTTGGTGACAAAATCATTTTTTGGTAGGACCATGGTCGTATATATATTATCCTAGAGACCTATCTCAAGAAGAAAAATATTTGAAGATCAAGTTCACCATCTTCTGGAAATATCTTGACTTTGTTAAAGATGTGAGATCTTAAGGTGCGTGTCCTTCAAAACGAAAAATGATGTATATCAAAACTCATATGCTACACCAAGTTATAGATGCTTGTTATGAGTTTGTTTACGCCTTGCATCCTGAGTGTGTCTTGGAGTCAGTGGAGATTTTGAAACATTTTGGATCCCGAAAATTACCCTTGCAGTGAAGGTGGAGGTTATTTCGACGTTTTAACTTAAAGTGTTTGTTATAACATTTAGAATGATGATAGAAACTAGAAAACTTTGTGTTACAACAAATAATCAAGACAACACCGAACACTTTAAGCCAACTACTTAAACCAACAAAACTCTAAATCTGAATTTCCATTCTGTTGTAGCATAACACTAAAAACTATTGAATTCATATGATCTTAACTTGGTCTTGAGTTGATTTCCTTGTTAGAATCAAAGTTCTGCTCCAAACTTCCGTTTTGCAACAATCTTCACTCAACTCTACTAGTACCTTGTATGAGCCTGAGTTCCACTCAAGAATCTTGGAAACTCCCAACTTCGTTCCATAGCTACCTTCACTTCGTTCTATCAAAGTCTTCAATGGGGAACAAAATAATATTTTCTTCCTAGAATTTAGTCTTGTACTAGTCAAAAAGCACATGAATGCATGGTACGCCTAAGCTAGTAACCCAACACATATGGGTATTATATTAATTTTAATTTAAAAATAATTTAATACAAAGGCTTTTTATTGGGATATTTAATTTAAAACCTATCATGATTTTATGTTCCCAATTAAAAGCTATTTCGATGTGAATAAAAAGTTGATGATGAGCTGGTGAAGTCTAATATGGAAGGTCTCTGGTGCAGTATAAAAGTCTCAAGTGGACGAGAGAGAGAGAGAGAGAGAGAGAGAGAGAGAGAGAGAGAGAGAGAGAGAGAGAGAGAGAGAGAGAGAGAGAGAGAGAGAGAGAGAGAGAGAGAGAGAGAGAGAGAAAGGCACCTGTAAGGTTAACGCTCTAATGCATAAGTCAACTAAGTAAGAGAGAAGAAACTTGTAAACATGTAATGAATCATATCTCGATGTGACGCAAAATCAAAATTATATATGAATGATGGTTAAAGCCGTCCTTAGTGAATGTGACACCTAGAACAGTGGACCTTTAGATGGGTTCCAATGGTTGAGATGGATGTATCTTCTAGATTTTGTGTGCAAATCTTTAGTGAAGGTGCATTTGTTTGTCAGAATGTGCATGTGACATTCTGGATTAGGCCTTCGTATTAAGCAGGTCTTAATGGAG